GTAGTTGCCAGACCACCACATCTTCATCGTCCAGCTCCACATCTTCAACTTCTACGACGGTGGGCGAAGGGTCTTGAACTCCATGTTCTGTTTGCCAAACGTAGCTTCAGGTGTACTGGCAAAGGTTTACACATGATAGGTTAACAAGAAACACATTTGCATTTGATGACATGGGATGTCATCCCATACATGTAAAGAGCCAATTAGGCCAGATGTTAATCTTCATTGTTGGCCATGAATTGAGATATATTGAGATGTGAACAGTTGATGTTTACAAAACTCTTTCCTTCGCTCCAGACGACCACATCCTCATCGACCAGTTCTTCCACTTCCACGACCACGGTGGGTGAAGGGTTGCGAGAAGTGGTGAGTGGCCGTGAGTCAGGGCACCTCCCCCAGCACACATGGAAACATACCTCGCTACGAACGGAACAAGTGCATCGCTTCGTTCGTAACAAGTGCCTTACTAGTAGTAACTAAGAAGCGAACGTAGAAACAAGAAGGTTGCAAACGTAGTTCTCAGAATCGTCACGTCCGTGCCTCGACTTGTCGGTGCGTCGGTGCGACTCATATCCGTCCCGCCGTCGGACGCATGGCCGGCGGCCGGGTCCCGCCCACACCGCGCTTCAAACGTTCCGCATCCTTGGGCTCCGGCGTTCCGAAAGAGAAGAGACGAAGCTCGAGCACGGTTTGAGGATTTGTAGGAGCTGGTGTATCGATCCAAAGGAAACACGGATGCAATGTGTGTATGAACGGTGCTTGTTGACGGGATCTCCCACTCAAAGCTATCCCACATCCACACCGGCAAACGGGCCCCGTTTGGGCCGTCTTCGGGGCCCAGACGTCTTGGGGTTTTGGAAGGTGAAGATGTAGCAGTTGAAGTGGTTTTGCAGGGTTGCCTCTCTTTTTGGAGGTGTCACAAGTCGAAGATCGTTCCAAAGGGTTCACTTGTTCACCTTCAGGATAGTTGGAGTATCTTGAAGTTGAAGAGTTTGAATCAGGTACGCTCCCTTGGACAAACTCATGGTTACGTGGATGGGACAAATGGCCCTGAGTTTGAAACCAAAACCAAGTTCCAATCCGAAAGACCCAACGGGGTGGGTGGTCTTTACATGGTTCTTTTACATGGTATTTACTATATTAAACTTACGTATGGTTTTACTAATTACTTACATGGTTTTTACATGTCTTGTTTTTTCGAACCAACTGGAGGTTTCCAGCGAAACCGTGGAGGCATCGAGTTCCAAAGTCCGTTCCCAGTGGCCGTCGCCAGACGAGCACCTCCTCATCGACCAGCTCCTCCACTTCAACGAGGGTGGGAGCTTCATTTGATCGTCGAAGCACCTCCCAACCCATCCCGATCCTTCCCAATCCCAGCTGCTAAAACCTCTGAAGTCAGCATCACTTACAGTGAAGACTAAGTAAAGTGAGGGAAACCTTCAGGAAAAGGTTCACAAAAAAGAGATGACGTTGGGAAGAGTGTGCGCTACAACACAAGAGGTGTTGCCTGTCGCTCATGTGGATCTTAATAATGGCTTGTGTACATCAAAGGAGTTCAGGAGAGGGTGAATGCGCTGAGGAATTTCTGCATGTGCCTTCTCATGCTGAAGCCGTCGTCATGCCCTTTTTATACGCTTTCCAGCGTGCTGCCAGACGACCACATCCTCATCGACCAGCTCTACATCTTCCACATCTACCACTTCGGTGGGCAAAAGGGAATCAGAGAATCCATGGGTTTGTGGAATTCCAGTTGAGCGCATCTCCCACCAGTCATGAGTCGACTTCAAGTCATGACTCATACACGACGCAATGTATGGCCTCCAATTTCAGCAGTTGTGGTCTTTGACACTCACGACTTGTGATTACTTCAGACTTGAAAATTTCCACAGACTACCACACGGTGCGAGTCACTTGCTTTCTGAAGGTGACAAGCACAACAACCAGCACTTCGGGCAACTTGGTCTACCGTGCCAGAGCATTTCTCAGATCCACCCTTGGTTGATGAGTGTGACATAGCTTCCGTACATGTACTTTAGGCATGAGCTGCCGTAAGTAGTTGTAAGAAAACATCAAAAGCACATCAACTCCACCGTGTCGTGCTCTTTTTGGAGCACATCAACTCCACCAATGACCACACGTTTTTTTTGGGACGTTTTGGTGCTGACTTGTACTGATATTTGGTTGTATTGTATATATATGGGGGACCCCCGATCGGCCCTGGCTGGGTGGACTGGTCCATGTTACCGAACCCGAAACCCCAGGGGTTTGGAACGCCGGTTCAGCTTAGGGCTCCCTTATGTTCCTTCGTGGAAAAAACCGATGTACCGTCACCCAGACACGACGGTCCATGGGACTGCCAGGACGGACTGCCGATCAATTGACCCGCTGGCACCATCCCAACTGATCGGCAAATATATTGGCAGTCTCATTAGTCGTGTCTGGGTGACGGTACCCATGTACCAACTCCAAGGAAACGTTTCGGACACTCCATGTACGGAGCACCCGAGCCCGACCGGGGACCCGAGACGGAAGCGGTTAAGACATCGACGGAAAGCGACGCCGTGCGAACGTTCACGGTCTTCTGCCCCCCAAAAAGACACACACGTGGTGCGCCACAGCATGTCACAGCTGTAACTGGCCATTCGTTTCCATGATCAGGTACATCCACGACGACGACGACCAGTTCCTTCTTGCCAGAGGATGTGGTGGAGCTGCTGGACTTGCTAAATCGCCAGAGGAAGAATGAGGCGAAACACCAAATGGCATGCATCAGAATTTTCACACTAAGACATAATACTGAGCCCATTTTCAGGGCTGTTTTCTTCGCCGTTCTCACTTCCAACTCGATGAGATCGGTGAGATCGGCGAGATCGGTGAGTCTCTGAGCGCCGTCCTGGTCGACTCGCCAGGCAGCTGGTGCTGTTCGTGACGTGGCTTCTTCAGAGGAGGAGCAGGTGAAGGCTCAGGTCTCGGCTTTGCTGGAAGCCGCGAACCAGTCGGAAGGTCGGGATCGGATGAGAAGCGGATCAACGGTTCTTTGTTATTGTTGTATAGCTATTGCATTCGCATTCAAAGCAGAGATCTTCCAAAAGGAAAGCCCCGATGTTTGGCAGACGCTGCCGTGCTTCCCAGGTGCCATTCCCCAGGTGACCAACGAGACGGACACCGGCACCGTCACCGTGATGGCCTTCACTTCGGAGGCCGTCGAGGCGGCGAGAAGGACCGGTGCAGCCGTCCCAGTGAGCACCGGTGGTGCTGATGCTGCAGAGGTACCTTCACAGGTGCTGGCACAAGCAATGGAAATGGCTGCAGCTAAGGTGAGAATGCTTCAAAATTCTACCGGCAACTAGAGGTTGTTTTTTCTTTTCGCAAGAAGAGATACGAAAAGTATTTTTTTTTCATGAACTATTTGGACATCATCCCTATGTCGGCACCTCACAGCTTTGGTGTTTCAATCAACAACACCCCATGTCAAGACTACCCAACTCACTAGCCCCTGGCTGGCGTGTGTGCGTCAGGTGGGTTCAGATAAGGCAGTAGTGCTGAGCCTCACTGCCATCAATGATGCCACAGCCGAGAAGTTGCAAGTTCCCATCGAGCAGAAGACGACTTCTGTGCAATCTCAGAGGTTGAGTATCAATCTTTGGGATGAAGATGCTTGGCAGCAAATCGTTTGTATCGCTGCTAGTGCATTGTCAATTTCTGTTTTGGTGGTGCGGGAAGCAAAGACCGCAGGATGGAAAGCCCATTGAGATTGACAAGCCACTTCGCGAACCCATCAAGCTGCGCTTTGAAGTCAACAACTCAGATCCGTCCTTGAGATGTGCCTTCTGGGATGCCACCTGGCTAACTCGGAAAATAACATGAATCCTTCACATATGTTTACTATATAACATAAATAAACATGTACATATATACTTATATCACATATTAGTGCTTTAGGATATGACACGCGTATGACACGGCGTGGTCCACGCAAGGTTCACGCGCCGTCCTCGTGTGCGAAGAACTCGCTCGAACCCGGCCTCGCCTCGCGCCATCTCACCCGAGGAAATCGAGGCCAAGTGGTCTGCGGCCTGGCACGAAGCTCAATGTGGGTGATTTTGAATCCGTGGAGCCCCGTGGGCCCTCCTGTGGTCGACTGGTGACACAGTTGTCCTCTTCGAGGGGTTCAGGTCATGTGGGAGGTCTTCCATGTAAACAGAGCCACACACCGATGTGTGAACGTGGCATGTGAGCGTCGTCACGAAACTGACGTGGCATGTTCTCTTGACACCCCTGAACAGAGGTCGGACCACTTAGGGAGGTTGACCGTGAACCTCTTTTGTCTTTTCAATGTTTTCAAGTGTGTGTGTGTGTTTATTTCATTGTCTTCTGTTTGATGAACCTATAGACATTTTGAAAGGAAGAAGGGCTCAAGACCGTGTCGATGGATGGGAAGCAGTTGGAGTGCGAGACCGTGCACTTGTCCATTTTTGCGGCTGTTGTCTTCAGCATTGAGAATGTGCTTTGGCAGCACGAAGAAAGAGGCTCCTGGGAGCACCTTCTTCAATGATTGCATGCAGATGGTCTATTTCACCGCTCGTCAAAGTGAAGAACAGATTGGAGAGGTTTTTGAGACAGGTGGAAGGTGCTTGAAGGCATGCCATTTCTGCCAAAGACATGTGAACGAACACCTACTGTAGCCATTGAGGTTGCGGCATGCAGCACTGCCATGTACCTGCTTTCAGATGAGGGCTTCAGGAACCTCTTTGATGTGACAGGATTCTTGACAGCACTGACGGGAGTCCGTCGCTGAGGGCGGTCCGAGCAGAGTTTGGAGGGTCCGTCGATCCGAAATGACCTGAGAAGAAAAAGAACACACCATGCATCAGGTCGCCCATTTGTGCTCATGGTAGGGCGCCCATATCGCTATTTGAGAGGAGCAGAAACGACGAGCAGAAACTGGTTGCCAAGGTTGGGGGAGCTCGGTGCAGGCAGTCTTTTTCGGCATCTTCCTTTCCATTTGCGTGTTGGCATTGACCTACTTTTGCTACCTGGACATCGTATCAGCTCGCGACTCTTGGAGTTGACTGGCACGACACCATCACTGCATCGCATCACTTGGTCCGGCGTCGTTCGGTGCTGTAAGTGGCGTCAACCGAACGACGTGCTTCGCGTGGTTCGTTCGGCCGAGGAGATGGGACTGTTGTCAGGGGAGACCGAGTCTGAAGCGGCGAAGGACACCAAAAAGCCAGAGCATGTGGTACACCATGTGGACGAGGCAGCCCAACGAGGTTGTGGACGGTGCAGCCAACTGCTGGAAGGCTTCAGTGTGCTGGCCATTTGCAGTACGCTGAAACAGGTCTGCCTGAGGAGCGTTGCGCGTACGTGGCATGCACAATCACTTCCACGTGGCACACTGTGGCATGTACATGGGCAAGAAACAGTCTTGGGACCTCCATACCCTAGTTGGAAAGAAAGCAATTATACATTTCATTTTTTGGATCAGTAGCTTCTTGTAAATGAAGTTGTAGTAAACTTGGATCTTCAAAGCCCTCTACCAAGAGTCACATTTTAGTTCTCTGCCCCAGCTACTAACGCAGGACTTCCAAGAGGATTTCGCGCTTGCCGTGTGATGTGGCAAACAAATGTGTCTCTGCCTTGCACAGTTACAAGACCGGAGTAGAGAGCGAAAGTGTAAAAGTCCTGCTGGAGAAGAAGATGGGCGAGATGAGAGCAGAGCATCAAATGCCCACTACAAAGAATCAACGCCGGAGGGCTGAACATGGACAAACCGCATTGCAAAGGAACACTCAAGGCATCCTTGACACGTGGGAAGTGAAGCGTGGCATGCAGGAACAGGGACGCAAGGCCGTGGAATGTGTGCTTGATGCCCCGTTTTACTGGCGAGTCGTCCTTTTCCTTCCGGTCTTCCAGCCATTGATTGGAATTTTGCTCTTCAGCCTCCGCGTGTCTCACTCGAAGAGGGCATCGTTGCTCATCCTCAAGTTCTTAACCGCTGGGGCGGCTTCGGCTCTCTTTTACGGTGGTGTGGAACAGGAGGGATGCACGCCTCCTAGAGATGCATTAGATGACCTGATCCGGACGATTGTGGTCAGCTTCGTGTGTCTTTGTTTGGGTGACCTGATGATCCTTCTGCTGACCTTGATCGGGCGCCGTTCCGTGGCCACGCCGCTCGGCGTGCGACGAGCTTTTGATCTCTAGCTGCTTTTTTGGCAAGCCAGAGGCTGCCCGAGAAGAAGACCTTTTGACTGCTCCTCATGTCCTTTCATGATATTTCACGGTTGAAACCGTGATGATTTCGAACGTGCCTCCAAAAGAACACATGGACGCAACGTCCATGGCCTTAGTGGCGTATGCCATGGCCGAACTTGTTCAAAAGTCATCCAGATAAACAAATTGCTGGGGTTCTAGTCTAACGATATTTCCAGTTCATTGATGATCTCATGGCAGTCGGCAGGTGCTGCGTGAACCGCTAGGTTGTGAACCGCTTTTTGTTTTTCAGTTTTGAGGGGCCCTTCCTTGGGTAGGCATTGCAACCTGATTGACAAGAGTGAAGACCGCGTCTTACTCACAGCTCATACATGGTTTTTGAACTTTTGTAGTCCAAAATGGGGGCCGTTGGTACGGATCTGGTTCAATTACAGCCTGTCTTCAGAGGTCACTTTGCGTGGTATACATCTTACTCTTCCTGTCGAACATGCACCCAGCGGATGTCCAGAAGTGGTTTGAGTCCAGTGCATGGAGCCTTGCTCAGGCAGCAGCATGAGGGGCATGGGCTTTTGAGTGCATCGAATTCCACAAAAAGTACCCGACACCTTCATTTGTTGCACTTTCCTTTGGGTAGGGTTTGAGCAGTTTGGGGACTTTTTCGTTTGCCTTTCTTGTTGAACCAAAAACGCATGAGATGGGCAGCGGGGTGAAGCGGTGGGCTTTGAGCGTTATTTTAGGAGATGACTGAAGTTTTCTTGGGCAAGAGGCCAGAGGTAGAAACCTACAAGATGCGCGCAATTGGTAGAAGCGACGAACCACATCAAAATGGGTTGGATACGCGAGGGTTCCATGTGCTTTTTTGATTGATTATAGTTATTTGTAGCGCTTCTTGCTCGATTGAGAACTTTTTGTCATGAGCTTTTTCTGTGTATCGAAGGAAGCTTCAGGTAGTATCAGACGACCACTTCGTCACTGCAACTCCGTTGGAACCCTTTCAAGGGCTAAGCGACCACATTGGTCTTGGGTTCTTTTGTTTTAGTTTTTCTCAATGTTGTGCATTGGTTTGATGTAGGCTTTTCACAGCCTGCTGATGTATGCACGTTCCGTACAACTCATTTGTATGTGATGCCAAACTGTGCAAACTGCATACTAACTTTTCCCCTACGTTGCACCTGCCGAAAGTGAAAGACTCTTCGTAACATGTTGGACCAGGCATACCAGCACCTTCAAAGAAGACAAGAATGGCATCCAGCCGCCCCTAGGGTGGATGTTCGCACCCCTACACGGTCTGGCCTAAGTCGAAGATGTGACACCTCGCTGTGGAGGTCTCCTTGACCCGTCCCAACTCATCCGGCCGTCGAACGTCGCATGACCTCTGGCGCATGACCTCCGATCGATTGGTGGGAGGGCCTGATTTTGAAGCCGCTGGCGATGTCCCTGGTGATGAATACCCTCCTAAGTGTCTTGACTTCAAAGAAAACCGTGTGTGCTTCTCTCAACTACCTCACTCAGCTACTCCCAATCTGGTTGAACAGCATTCTGGCACAAGTTTGGTGCGGCGTGCGCGCTCAGAGGTTTGCTGTTCTGCTCCAATTTCAGGCATTGCTTTGAGTTTTAGCAGAGTGCGACTGGCTATTAAGACCACGTGGCTGCTGAAGGTGGCAAACGTACAATCAAGTGTATAGCTTTTTTGGACGTTTTTTGATGTTTGTGTCCTTTTTTTGCAAAGTGATGACGATTGTTGGTGTTCGATTTGTTGCTTTCGCATGCTTTTGTTCGTGTGACTGACGTGCATCTACCTGGGCACCCCAGAAACTTGCTACAGGGCATTGAGGTGCACATGACGCCAGAAGAGGAAGACCAGCTGAAGCGCGCGTTTGAGGAGGCTCAACAAAACCAGGAGAGTGCGCCCAAAGGTGTGAGACTTCGAGTGGACAAGAGAGACAGAGACCTTCTGCGAAGAAGTCTTCCGAAGGGTTTACATGGGCGTTTGCTTCACCCCGTATTCGTTGGGTCAATTCACGAAACGAACGTCTGTGCGAATCGGCGGCGAGGATGGGCCGACGTCGGTCTTTTCCATGCTCGACGTCATACGTGAAGACTCGACTGCGAAAGGCGACGGGTGCAGATGTTGGGACTTGCGACGGTTAAACAGTCACCAGATGTCAACAGGCGCAAACAATTGAGAGTGAATAGAGTCAAGCCCACCAACAAGTATTTTGAGTAGTAGTAGAAGATGTAGCAGATATAGTAATAGTAATGGTAATAGGAATAGTATAGTAGTGTGATAGCAGGAGTAGTAGGAGTAGTAGGAGGAGGAGCAGGAGGAGCAGTAGCATTAATTAGCCGCAGCGACAGCAGCAGCAGCAGGAGGAGGAGCAGCAGGAGCAGCAGGAGGAGCAGAAGCAGTAGTCGTAGTGGTTCCGGTTGTGGTTGTTGGTTGTGGTTGCTTATAAGCAAACCTTATTTTCGCAAAAAAACAGCCTGGTGAAGACATCGTTTTATCACTCCGACCCACTAAACCCATTCAGAGTGTGAGAATAATTGAATACCTTCAAGATCTTTTTCTTATGCCCTCCCACTGCCACCTGATGATTTGGGATTGAACACTAGGGTTTCAGTTTTGCTCAGGGGGAATACACACAACAAAGCAACAGCAAGCAACAGTTTTGTAGATAACGAGCGGGCCAAGTTTCACGCGTCGAGGCCAATGACTCTGTTCTATTTTGAAGAAGAAGCCTTCTTGGTGTGTCCAAATGATGTCGAACGAGAGTGCAAAGGTCTCTCCACCTGGCCAACTAGACATGCCGCGTGAGTTTTTCGAGCGGGAGGCGATATGACCTACACCGATGCTCTGCAGATGACACGTAAAATTGTCATCCGCGAGGCGTGCAATCAACTTTTTGTGGGGTTTCCCAAACCATGCTTTTGATAGCTGAAGTCTTTGAGATTTTTTTGTTCAGGCACCACCAATAGTATCTAAAAGTTGTTTATAGGTGTAGCCATGAGAACGACATGTGACATGTGATGGACTTGGGCACGTTTCTTTTTCTTCTGCGGTTTGTTCGAATGTCAGCCTGTCTCAATCCCCACAGCTGAACCAGGACGCTGAGTCGCGAGTGGACGAGGAGGCACGGAAAGCAGCCAGAGAGTGCAACCTCGCAAAGATGATTTGGTAAACATGATATGTTGTGGACTCTTGATTAGTGCAACCCTCCCCTCCACCCTCTTTTAATCAACAGTTGACATTGGGGTTATGTCAAAGGAGGGCAATCTCCCTCGGAACCAAAAGGTGAATTCCCGTTGGGCATTGCCATGTTAAGGTGCAGTTTGATCCACTCTTGTTGACACTGCGAAGGTCAAAGAGCCACCACGGGTGAAAAGGAAGATGCTTCGAAGGGTCAGACGCAGACGGCATCCGAACCTAGTGGCGGGCTTGGCTTGGATTCCTTTCGTGTTGTGGTTGAGAACAAGCAGAGTCCTTGCAAGCGTGGTCGAGGCTGGACAAGTGCCTTTGAGCAACATCGAACAGGGCCAGTCACCGGAGGCCTGTTGATTCAGAAGTTTCTCAGGGAACAAAAAACAATCATAAGCGCTGTGACGGGGATGCATGAGTGTCATTGTGGCGTTGTTTTCACACGACTCTGCCATTCTATGGTTTCCGGAAGGAAGACCCCTTTCCTGATGCGACTCAAAATATTGAAGTACTTTGTCCTGTTTGGGATCAGTACATTGTCGGGTGTTTGACATGGAACAAGGTCAGGACTGCGGATAGTCCAGTCGGACGAAGCGAGCACGGCCATGCAGCACCTCCCCTCGGGCCTCCTTTCAGCGGATGCAGAGTTGTTGAGCATCGTCAGAAACCTGAAGTTTCACATGGTTGCATCACCAGACCATCCATGGGCCATGGGACTGGATATACCTACATTGGGGTGGTTTCAGGGGTCAATGCATTATGTATATTATTACGAAAGCCAGCCGACAGGCTTGTCGAGTCCTCGATAACCAAACGAAGTGAGTAATGGGGTGTGTGGCGGGGGGTGGTTGCAGGAAGAGCCTGATGTGGGAGAGCGAAAAAGAGAGTAGTGAACATATATGTTTTTAAGGGTCTTGGTGATGTGAGTGATGCAAATGACGCTGAGCATTAGCATCACAAAGTGGTTAGGAGATTATCAAAGTGGTCTACTGAGCTGACCAGGTGTGTGAGTCCAGGTAGAAGACAGGAGGCTGGACGATCACTGCATTGTTTTCAGAATCATAGGAAAGGAAAGCAGGGCTTGACCTTCACTGCTCCAGTAGCTGAGTTGAAATCACTGGTTACCTAGCCTCTTTATGCAAGCAGACTGATTGGAAAGGTTGAATTTTATAGTTCTCCTGGAAAAGTTGCCACAGTCTAAGGATAATGTTGGGGGTTGCGGGTTGTTGGTCAGCTGCGCGGGGATCTTGTGGACTACCACTTCACATCAAACAAGCAATGCATTGGCCGCGTTGGTGTTGGCGTCCTTGTGGAAGTCATCACCTGCTTGCACTGTTGGCGGGGGAAGGTTTTCTCATTTCCACACATTCATGTGAGTGTGGACCTGGCATCAATCGGCAGCAGCCTCCGCCGTCAATCTTTGATGGCGTCTGCTTGGCCTTTCATCATTGAACTGGGTCGCCTGCTGCTGCCGATTCAATCAGGCGATGCACCAGGAGAGCCGTTGCAGCTCTGCATTGAATGCTGCAGCGGTCATGAGCTTCGGTGCACTCCAAGAGGGAACCAACACTGATGTGCTGTACAGCGGAACGCATGCATTTCCAGAATTATGGTGGCCTTCCCAATGGTGGCACCATGCCCTTGCTTTGCAAGCTGTTCCGGTCCCCCTATCCCATGACCAGTAACAGTGGATGGGGGTGAGTAAAGGCCTTGTGTATATAGGCTCTATCATATCGAGCCTCAATGTGAAACTTTGCGTATCTCTGCCTGCTGTTTTCCCATCGTTAAAAGCATAAGAAGTAAGTGCAGCTTCGACATCACCCCCTAACGACAATGATACATAATTGAGTTCTCAATCCCTACAGGGCTGGCTTTCGTCCTCGCCCTGCTCGGGTATATATATAACTATATATACATATAGATAATTAGGTGTATGTGGATGGCCTGGGCTCCGCTCGCTGTTGGACTCAACTGGACTTAGCCGCTGTCCTTTGAAGGTGAGCGCGGCCCCAATCGTGAAGCGGAAGGTGCTTCGAGATCGAAGGGTAAAACGCAGACGGCATCCGAACCTAGTGGCGGGCTTGGTTTGGATTCCTTTCGTGTTGTGTTTGAGAACAGGCAGAGTCCTTGCAAGCGTGGTCGAGGCTGGACAAGCGCCTTTGAGCAACATCGAACAGGGCCAGTCACCGGAGGCCTGTTGATTCAGAGGTTTCTCCGAATAGAAAACATTGATTTTGTATTAGTATATTCTACCACATAAAGCACATTCTGTCCTGCAGGAACCAAATAGGGCGAGAAAATGGAATAGGAATGCATGGTAGGCACGGAAGCGAAAAAACAACGAAAAGACGCGGCAGAACAATCTACTGTAAGCTCGAGGCAAATGCGATGCAGCGCACAACGGCATTATTGATGGCAACAACGAATTTGTTGGACATGTGACTTCTAACAAATTCTTCATGACAAATGACACATCATTCCGAGTCTTCTCCGTGCTTCGATTATTCTGAAACCATCTATTCGGTTGGAGGCCATCGCTTCTAGGTTGGAGGCCATTGCTATTGTGGTTGAGGCCATCGCTTCTAGGTTGGAGGCCATCGCTAGTAGGTTGGAGGCCATCGCTATAAAGGTGGCCATGCTATTGAAAACAAAGAGAAAGAACAGGAAGAAACGTCTAAAAGGTTGCTATTAGGTTGCTTGGGAAGAACTACTCAGCAAGAGAAGCCCATGGAATGCCCGACAAGAACAGATCGAACGACATCTCATCCTGGACCAAGTGGTGCACCACACGAGCCCTGGTGCACCAAATGGTCAGAAACCTTGAGTCATTTTGAGTCCCGCCATGAAATCACTGGTTTCACCGTTTTTTGTTCGCACTTGCCGTTGACATTCCTAAAGTGTCCCAAAGATCACATTTTTCGATACCACTTGAGCAGACATGTTTGCTCACCATCTTCTGGGAGATGGCCAACTGGCATGGCCAACGCTTAGCGTCATACGGAACGCAACTGGAATGCCAGCTGTCAAACTTCCCGACCAATGTGGTCTTCCCTATCCCACTTCATGACAAGACAAAAGGTCTTTTTGCGCCTGTAGTGGTTCAAGTGGAATTTGTTTTGACTAGAGAGGAGCGTTTTTTGCTTTGGAGCCACAAGTTGCCAAAAAACAATTGCGGCAATGGTGGTAGCCACGAATCTCCTTTGTTAATGAACTGCTTCATCAACTGTTTGTGCAATCTTTGGCAATGAGCCCATTATAAAGACCTTTTCACCTTTTTTGGCGCTTGGAGTGCGAGCGGGCACATGAGTATCATCGTAGCGATATTTAATGTAAACTTGTTCGGCTGCAATAACGGTATTGTTAGAGAGGCCCCTACCTGGGGACCTTTGAAACTTGAGGCTAGTGACTAGTGACCAAGATTAGGACTTTCTTGTGTGTGTAAATCTTTTTTTGCTTCTGTGGCGTTTGTTATGTTTATGACATGACCTGAATGAGGGCACTGAGCAGTTGGGGATGTGTGCGATCGTGTTGGACGTGGAGGAAGAGCAGGAGGTGCGCGAAAAACCGGAGAACAGCAGACGGAGCTGGATGGAAGGGCTGGGCTGAGTGATGCTGAGTGATGCTGAGTGCAGCCGCTGGTGCCCGCGTTGAGTCACAGGTTGGGCCTCGTTCGGTTCAGGTCCAGTTTGATCTGCTCTTGTTTGGACCCATGGGAGGAAGGTGAAAGAGCCCCCC